CGACTACCCAGCTCAACAACCTATAAATGACTAAGAACCAATGAAGTTCGACTTTCCAGATGAGTATATGTCCACCCACAGGCGAGGAAAGTTTAGACCCATAAATTTGGACTATGATGTTTGATGGTGCCTCTAATGAGCTAGGTCATGGGATAAGGGCTATTTTGATATCACCTAAAGGGGATCTATACCCTCTTACCGTCAGGTTATGTTTTGACTGCACACATAATATAGCTGAGTATGAAGCATGCTTCATGGGTGTCCAAGCTGCTATTGATATGAAAGTCAGGAAACTCAAAGTTTTTGGAGATTTTATGCTAGTAATTCATCACTTAATAGGAGAATGGGAAACAAGAGGCGCTAAGTTGTTGCCTTACAAACAACTCATAACAGAATTGTCACAAGAATTTGATGAAATCTCATTTGATTATTTGCCAAGAGAAAATAATCAAATAGCAGATGCATTAGCCAAATTAGCAATGATGTTCAATTTAGAACTCAATAAGGAGGTCCGTCCGACTAAAGTTGGGAGGAGAGATGTCCCAGCTTCTTGTATGATCATTGAGGAAGAACCCAACGACAACCCCTAGTTTCATGACATCAAGCAGTATATCAAGAGTAAAGAATATCCACCCAATGGTTCAGAAAATGATAAGCGCACCCTCCGCAAGTTGGCAATAAAGTTTTTCTTAAACGGAGAAATACTGTACAAGAGAAACCACGACACGGTTCTCCTAAGATGCGTCGAAGGAAGAGAGGCCAATAAGATTATGGAGGAAATCCATGAAGAAGTTTGTGGCACTCGTGCAAATAGCCATATGATGACTAGGCAAATTTTAAGAGTCGGCTATTACTGGTTAATTATGGAGACACCTTGTATCAGATATGCAAGAAAATGTCACAAATGTCAAATTTACTCAGACAAGACTCATGCTCCTGCTTCTTATTTACATACTTTGTCAGCTCGTTGGCCCTTTTCTATGTGGGGCATGGACGTGATAGGTCCTATCAAACCTAAAGCATCAAATAGGCACCGATTCATTTTAGTAGCCATAGATTATTTTACCAAGTTGGTAGAAGCAGCTTCTTACCGAGATGTGACAAAATGAGTTATGGTAAAATTCATCAAGAAAGAAATTATTTGTCGTTATGGTCTTCCTGAAACAATAATTTCTGATAATGCAAGGAATTTGAACAAGAAATTGATGAGCGAGCTCTACGAGCAGTTTAAGATCAAGCATCTCAATTCAATCCCTTATTGACCCAAGATGAATGGTGCATTGGAAGCCGCCAAAAAAAACATAAAAATAATCGTTGAAAAGATGATTGTAACTTACAAGGACTGGCATTAAATGCTTTCGTTCGCCTTACATGGTTATCGTACCTCAGTCCGTACTTCAACTGGGGCAACACCATTTTCTTTAGTTTATGGTATGGAAGTTGTTCTCCCCATTGAAGTATAAATTCTATCATTGAGAGTTATCATGGAAACTAAGTTAGAAGAGGCTGAATGGGTCCAAAAGGCGTTATGAGAAGCTAAATTTTATAGAAGAAAAGAGGTTGATGACATTATGTAGAGGACAACTTTACCAAGGAAGAATGATGAAAGCCTATGACAAGAAGGTGCGCCCAAGAAGGTTTAGAGAGGGAGATTTGGTCCTAAAAAGAATCTTCCTGTTGTAGAAAGATTATCGAGGTAAATGGACCCCGAATTATAAAGGACCATTTGTGGTGAAAAAGGCTTTCTCTAGAGGAGCACTAATTCTGGCCAACATGGATGACCGTGAGTTTTTAAATCCAGTCAATTCAGATCATATTCGAAAGTATTATGCATAATTTCCCGTGTATCACGGAAAACTTCACTTTGATCTCAGTATTTTACTTGAAAGGCATTTTGTGTATCCATTCTCTATTTTAGACTACAAATTTGAACAACATCTTTGAAATACGTGTCCTTTGTCATAATTGGAAATCTCATTTATAAATTATGTTCTCTATTTATTTATGAATGACGGTCGTTGCTTACATTCACGTTTTCCAAGGTCACTTGTTACTCGAAATCAAACGTAGGGGCACCGGAAGCCTAAAGGTAAGGATATTTGTTCTCTAGAATTATTGGTGAAAACATGACATTACAAAGTTATCAGGGGCAAAGTCGTCATCCGGTTTAAGGAGTGTTTGGATAAGTCTCAGTTTGTCTGTGTACTCTCGATCTAGTTAAAAGGGTTTTGAAGGAAAGCGAAATGCGGTGATCGGGCTATCTGGACAATCCCAAGTTTATATTACAAAAGCAAGTGATTTCACTCTATTTTTCACATCCAAGATAAAATTTTATGTTATCATCATGCCTGTGTCAATCCAAGTCTGTTGCCTTTTAATTTCCCGTTGGTTAAATTGAACCTGATCAAAAATCATGGTCGAAGCCTATGCCAATCTAGGTCCGTTGTCTTTTAGTTTTGTTTGGTTAAATTGAACCCGATCGAGATCGTGATCGAAGCATGTGTCGTCAAGTCAGGTCCTTGCCTTTTAATTTCCCGTTGGTTAAATCGAACTCGATCAAAGATCGTGGTCGAAGCATGTGTCAAGCTAGGTTCGTTGTCTTTTAGTTTTATTTGGTAAATCAAACCTGATCGAGATCATGGTTGAAGCCTATGTCAAGCCAGCTCCGTTGCCTTTTAGTTTCCCGTTGGTTAAATCGAACCTGATTAAAGATCGTGGTTGAAGCCTATGTCAAGTCAGGTTCGCTACCTTTTATTTGTTTGGTTAAATCGAACACAATCAAAGATCGTGGTCGAAGCTTGTGTCAAGCCAGGTCCCGTTACCTTTTAATTTCTCATTGGTTAAATCGAACCCGATCAAGGATCGTGTTCCAAGATGTCAAGCTAGGTCCGTTACCTTTTAATTTTCCGTTGGTTAAATCAAACCCGATCAAAGATCGTGGTGGAAGCCTGTGTCAAGCCAGGTCCACTACCCTTTATTTATTTGGTTAAGTCGAATCCGATCGAAGATCGTGGTCAAGCCTGTCAAGCAAGTTCTGTTATCCTAGCCTTCTCATCTTCCCAATACTTTGTCTTTTTGTCTTTGTCTACCCTTTTAGTTCTGCAAGGATACAGAAAGGGGGGCAAGCTGTACACACCGTATTTGGTCCGGCTCAAATTTTATTATTATTTTTATTTGCTTACTATTAATATTAATATTAATATTTTATTGAATTAAATTTTATTTTAATTGTTTTCATTAAAAACCACATCATTTACTTTATTATCAGTTTTAAGGTAAAGTTTTAATTAAATTAAATTATAGATTTTGTTTTAAAAGAATTTAATTTATTAAAACAGATATATATTAAAAAAGATTTGATTTTAAACGAATTTTTTTTAAATATTTGATTTATTATTTAAAAAAAAGATAAAAAATGATTTGATTTTTTTAATTAAAAAGATTGATTTTGTCAAAGCCATATAACGTGGCGTCATTTCGTTCCTCTCTTTCCCGTCTTTTCTCTTCCTTCCATTTGTTATTGTTGGAGCATCGCGTATTTAAGAGAGGGAGTACAACACAGGGACAAAGAGTAGGCAAGCAAAAGAGAGAAGCAACATTTTGTGTTTCATTTTTCCACCTTTCTCTCTCTTTATTTTCAAACACCCATTTTCCTTTTGCTTTTATCTTTTTTTTTCCCTTCATTCCTTTTCCTTTCTCTCTCACCATTCATCTTCTTCCTTCTTCTTCTTCCCCATTCTCAATCCCAAGCCCCTCTCTCAACCTCACACCTCCGATGACCACAGTCGACTCCGACGAACACACCGGCGTTGTAGATCCAGTAGTGACTCCAAACTCTTATCTCTAAAGAGACCCTTCAAGGGATGACGTCGGCCGGCTTGCGATGACGTTGCGACACTAAGTTCGTTGGTGTGTTTTGGTTGGGATTTGTTTATGCAAGATATGTTAATTGTGTGATGTTGTAATTCATTATGTTTTAAGCATGTTGAAGTTGTTGTGACTTGGGTGATGAAATGACCTTTGGAAGCATGTGTGTTTGTTTGAATACGTAGTAGTATGATGTATAGTTGTGAGTTGGTTGATAAGCATATTTGTTGTGAACGTAGTATGCTAGAGTAATGTGATATGATTCATGCATGGGTCACGACTTAGAAAACATGTAGTAGGGTTTTGGTAAGAGTTCTGAGATGTTATGAAGTGAATGGATGAGTATCAGGGTCACAGGGCTGATATGTTACTAGTTGGTTATCAAGGTTCCGGGTATAAAGGTCGGGGTCGATATGCAAAACTTTGGACAAAGATGAGTGTCGAGGCTTCGGGTATAAAAGTCGAGGATTGATGCGATGAGTCTTAGTTGAAGGCAAGTATTGGGGCCTTTAGAGGAAAAGACAACGGTCAATATATTGCAAAGTTATCGATGCCTTAGCTATGCATGGTTAGGAGTCAGTGCAACAGTTCAAGGCCTTCGGTACAAAGGTCAAGGGTCGAACGCCAAGCATCATAGAGAAATGTCGAGACCTTGGGTATAAAGGTTAAGGGTCGATACGACTCGAAGGAATAGGAAGGAGAACTAGTGGATTTAAAGAAGCGTCGAGGCCTTGGGTACAAAGGTCAAGGGTCGACGCACAATTCGAGGCCTTGGGTATAATGATCAAAGGTCGAACGCCAAGTTTCTGTAGTGGAGTTTCGGGACCCTGGGTACAAAGGTCAATGGCCGATACGACTTGGAAGAGTTAGACTAGGAGAATTAAAGTGGTGAGATAGGTTAAGAAGTGCTTGAAAGAGCTAGGGGCTAGCAGGCTTGTGGTAGAGGTTACTTGGGTTGTGATACTTTGTTGCATATATGTGTTGTTAAATGTTATGACTTAGCGATGCATGACTCCAGTTTAGTATTTATATTATGAATGATGCATTTCGAGCATGCTGTTTGTGCGTGACCCTTCAAGTAAGGGCTGCTTATTGAGTACCGTGGTTGTACTCAACCTTCTTTCCCGTTCCAGGTTTTGTAGGTAATGGGGTCACACACGGGAATGGTGATGGCGAGAAGGAGACGTGACCGAAAAAGACCATTAGTTGCATAGCTTAGTTTTGTTTTTAGATAGGATAGTGCTGTTAAGTTTCTTATTTAAAGGATGTCAGATCGTTACACTTTGAGAATATTAGTTTTGTTTAGCTAATTGAACTATGGGGTTGAAATCTATTGAGGATAACTTTTATTGCTTATGTTCAAGTTGTTATTAAGTTAAACTTTGCTTTGTTGCTATTCAAGAAATTTAAATTTCGTTTAGTGGATAGTTTATGGTGAACAAAGGTTTCGTTGAGAAGTTTGGATAGGGTTGGGTTGTTATTAAATTATTAAGGGTAAAGAATCTGAGTTTTGGTTAAATCTTTAACGTTGTTTAGTTGAATTGTTCAAGCTATCGTGAGTGTTGAAATCAAAGTAGCGCAGCAGAAGCGTGGTGGATGAGGTTAATTCTCTTGTTTAAGTGGAATTCTTAGGTAGTTGTAGTAACGGTCCCCGTTTGGGAGGTTGAAAATCTTGGAACGTTACACTATCTTCGATGACATTGTTACTTTGCAGTTTTGGAAGGTGAAGCCGCTCTATTGTTGCCCATCAGATTTGGACTGTCAAGTGATGGTAGTGCCAATGACCATGCATATTAGTTACTGTCGTGGAATAATGCAACCCCATCTCTACCTATTCAATTGACGCTTCCATATACATCACACTGTTTAAAGAACTGGAACCATCCTCTCACATGTAGAGTTTCTTGATAATCGAGAATTACACACTTATAATAAGTTGTGTAGTGAGCAACTACCACTTGCACATTTTCCGATCCCACGTAATTTTGAAATGATAAGGTTTGGGCCATAAAATTTTTTGCCCTCAAACCTACAAATTCAACATGTTCATTAGTATATTAGAAAAGGAAAGCACGTAATTTCAATCAGAGTGTAACGTAATAAGAAAGCTAGCTAGGGTTTATTAAACATGGCTGAGGAGGTAGTAAAAAAGCATCATCTTCGATCAATGATATAAATATTTTTGCATCGAAACTTCAACATGTTTTCTGTAGATCCCAGATTTGCTATAAATGTAAAAGCTACTTGTATTGAAGTTGGGTGCCGTAACTATAGCATCATTAAGTCAAACAAAATCTACGGTACCATCAAGCGACCCGGTTAGGCAATGGGAGAACTGAAGAAGCCTAGCTACTTTTGACGGCGAGAAGGCATGGAGCATGATGGAGCTAGGATTGAATTTTGAAGAAGAAGAAACCCAATACTTCTAAACTTGATAGTTGATAACTACTCTGCTATATTTATAATGGAAGAAAACCGCGTAAAAGTGGATTTATTAATAAATCGGAAAAATGGATTATAATTATTGTAGTAATTTTTAATTTATTTTTCAAAATAAACTTGAAATTTCAACCAACGACAGAACGGAGCAAATTGATTAATCCCTTATTAGCTTATAGTGAGTTGTTTTGTATGTTTCAATCTTACGTTTTATGGCCAATTAGCATGTACATGACTTATTTATTTTCAATCAATTTTTACGAGTATTTAATCCAAAAGATTATGTAAATTTTGGATTCCAAGAAGTAGACTACTAAAAACTTGAACTACTCTAATATCCTGACATAAAAATTATATGGCAGTTAATTAACTTTCTAACTTCACCATCAAATTTTCCATCGACTTAGATGATCACTTTCACACATTATAGTTTTATTGAGTTTTAATTTAATTGTTGATATATTCCTCTTATTTAAATTCACATGGCAGTACACTACTTTTATTGTATTGACTACTATTTTGAATGATGTTGTTTCGTGCTGCTTAGAAGTCTTAATAACATATTGTTGCCGGTCCATTGATTGTGACTATAATTGTGTTAATACCAAAAGTGGATCTCCCCAGGAAGATTCATGAATTCAAACCTATTTCTCTTTATAATGTTTGTTATAAGGTGATTTTGAAGCTATTGAAAACCGTACGAAGGGTTTGCTCAACTATATTGTATCAATAACCAAAGTGAGGTTTGTCCCTGGTAGACGTATGGTTTATAACGCTATTCTTGGGTATAAGTTTGTTCATTCTATTTAGGGCAAGAAGTCGGGGAAAGTGGGTTGGGCGGCTGAAGTTAGATATGAGCAAGGTCTATGACAAGTTAGAATGGAGTTTCCTTGAAAGGATTAAGCGAATGGGTTTCGTACGTAAGTGAGTGGTGTGTTTGATAATGTGATGTGTCTCCTTTTGTCTCCTTTTCCTTGCACCTAAACGGGGAGCCATTCTTCCTTGTTGAAGCCTCAAGCAAGGTGGTCGTATATCTCATCTCTTTTTGTTATGTGTGGATGAGTTGTCTTTTATGTTGCATGGAGCGGTGAAACGGAAAGTTCTTTTTGGGTTCAATTTGTCTATAGGTGGTCCTTCTGTTTCCCATCTTCTCTTCACAGATGATAGTCGCCTTTTCTTCAAATCATCTAAAAACAGAGGCGAAGAAAATCAAAGCTATTCTTTGTATGTATTAAAGAGCCTCAAACACTTCGTGTTGTTAGAGGGGTGAGGTTTAATCCTCCCTCCGAGTTGGATTGTCATCAGAATTATTTGAGACTGCCAGCGTTTATGCCCCCATAATAAGGAGACGTTGAACTACATCCAAGACAGAGTCGGGTCACACATGAAAGGTCGGTTGTTTTCGATTAGAGGTAAATAAGTGTTGCTAAAGACTGTTATACAAGCAATTCCTTGTTCCGATATCTTGTTTCATTCAACAAATCTCTCCATGCTAAGCATGGGTGGAAATGGAAGATTTGTCTAAAGTTGGGTTGTTTGTTGCTGTTGTTATATTTTAATATTTATTTAAATATGAGTTTCTTTTTATTTAATTTTAGAGTTGAAGGATTGAGATGTTTTATCAAATTTTGTAAAATGTATTTTAAAAGAAGTTAAAAGAAACTTATTAAATTTTCTATTGAGTTACTACATGCAAGTCTCCTATAAATACCTATCTTCCTAAACTCTCACAAGACAACCCACTCAACATATCTTCTATATTTGTTACTTTATCTACTTTGCTCTTTTAAGAGCGATTGGCCAAAAGAGGAGTGTTCTTTGTTGTAGATCTTTGAGCTTAACCTCTAGTTGCAGGGTAATTTGAGCTACACAACGTTTCAGTTGGGTTGTTGTATCCTGGAAGGGACAAGCCAGAGAATACCTGCTGCACCGGTGGTTGATAAAGAAATACACACCACAGAGGGCTTGAATCTCTTTAAAAAGAGCGAGATACCCGCTCCTCAACCTAATTGATTACGTGTTTGTTTCTTGATAATTACTCCATTTACCTATGTTATTTGTAATTCCCCCAACAATTTTAAGGAGATTCAACATCAATTTAAGAAGAATTGATATGGAGTCTACTATTGAGAAACCTAATGAGAATGTTGGAGATCTCAACAAGCCCTTTAGATTTAAGGGAGCACACTTTAAGAGATGGAAGGGAAAAGTGTTGTTCTACCTTAATCTTCTCAAGGTGGCCTATGTCCTCACTGACAAGAACTCAAAGAAAATTGATACTGAAAGCATGAGCATTGAAGAGTTCATGGAACACGAGGAGAAAATTGACAAGTATGAGAAAGATGAGTACAAATGCCAGTATTATCTTCTAAATTGTCTAGCTAATCATTTTTATGATTATTATGATACTACTTTCACATCTGCCAAGAAAATATGAAAGCCTTGCAGAGTAAATATGATACTGAAGAGGCCGGGGCGAAAAAATATGCTGCAAGTCGTTTCTTTCGCTTTCATATTGTGGATGAAAAATCTGTAGTGGAGCAAGCGCAAGACTTTCAGATGATAGTAGCTGAAGTAGTATCTGAAGGAATTAAGATGGGAGACAATCTTATTGTGGCCGGCATAATTGACAAGCTTCAACCATCATGGAGAGAATTTCAGAAAACTATGCGCCATAAACAAAAAGAAATTTCTCTAGAAATGCTAATCACTCGCATCCGTGTGGAAGAAGAAGCAAGAGGGTAAGATGCTTTAATTCAAGAAGGTAATGAAAATTCCACCAAGGTAAATCTAGTCTCTACTAATGATAATTTACCTAATGATTAAATTCCTAAAAATAGACATTTAAAGCCAAAGAAGAGTTATATGAAAAAGAAGAATAAACCTCATTTTTCAAATAAGAAAAATCCAAGTCAAGTGAATAAGAACCAAACACATCCACAACACTCAAGATCAGTTTGTTTTGTTTGAGGCAAGAGTGGGCATATTGCTCGATTTTGCAGATTCCGGAAACATGATTCTGTTACTCAGGCTAATGTTACCGAAGAGCCATTTGTGGCTATGATAACTGATATTTATATGATTCAAAGTATTATGGATGGTGGGCTGATTCTGGTGCCAATAAACATGTTTGTTATGACAAAGATTGGTTCAAAGTTTATACTCCTTTTAGGGAGCCTAAAACGATAATGTTTGGTGATTACCATACCACTCAAATTATGGGAACTGGTGAGGTTGAGTTAAAATTCACATCTGGATGAGTTTTAATTTTAAAAGATGTGCTTTATGCACCCTCCATGAGAAAGAATTTGATGCCGAGCTATCTTCTTAATAAGGCTGGCTTTAAACAGACTATAGAATCTGATCAATATGTGATAACTAAAAAAGGAGTTTTTGTTGGAAAAGGTTATGCTTGTGATGGGATGTTCAAATTGAACATTGACAATATTAATAAAGCATCTTCTATTTCAATTTATATGCTATCTTCTTTAAATTTTTGGCATGCTCGTTTATGTCATATAAATAACAAATATATGGGAATTATGAGTAGTCTGTGATTAATTCCAAGTTTAAAAAATGATTTTGAGAAATGTGAGACATGCAGTAAAGCTAAAATTACAAAAGGGCCTCATAAAAGTGTTGAGAGAAATACCGAATTATTAGATTTAATTCATACAGGTTTGTGTGAATAGAGGAGGATATAGATATTTTATCACTTTTATTGACGACTTTTCTAAATATGCGTATGTTTATTTAATGAAAAATAAAAGTGATGCTTTTGAGAATTTCAAAAAATTTCTCCTCGAAGTTGAAAATCAATTCGGTAGAAAAATTAAAAGAGTTAGAAGTGATAGAAGTCGAGAATGTGAATCATTTGAATTCAATTCATATGTT